GGTCGGTAGGTCCTAGGGACCTCCTGCTCTGATACCATGTTAGAAGAACTAGGCAAGAATGAATGCATTGAATGAAACAGTTGGGTACAAGTAGCAAACCCTAGTTGGGGTTGTACCCCATATTGGCTACCCCACTACAGCCTACCAACATATAACACATTACAATTTAACAGCTGGGACCTGACGGGGGGCAGTGACAGGGGTCGGAGGCAGCATACTGTGAGTTGGGGTACATATACCTAACCCTAACCGTTGTACCCCACATGATATACCTCACTATCGGCTACAACATTTGACAGGGAGTTGGATTTGTATGAGAACTTTCAGATCTGGTACATAGAAACACGCAACGTGCAGCAACTGCGATGCTTGGCAGGCAGCTAGGACATGAGGGAGCAAGCGCCTCACTTCACGTCCCTTCCTTTTTGTTAGAATCTTAGAGGGGATGATGCATTAGGTGAGGGAAGGGGGATACAAGAAAGATGTCGATCAAGTTGTTGACCCCCCTAAAGGCTGACCCCACTACAGCCTAAATATATATAACAAAATATATTTCGACACACCCCCATAGGCGAAGTGGGGGATAGCCAGAGCAAGCAATGGTCACAAGACCAGTCAAGAGAAGCAACAAAGCAAAGCTCAGGGTGGATCACAAAGTCACCACACAGTCCGAGCACTCAAAAATTATATGTTTACATCTATATAGGTTGTATTGGGGTTAGCACTAAGGGGTACACAAATATTCTAGACATTCTTCTTATATCTCCCCCTTGACCTAATCCACTCATTCCTACCTACGTATATTAACATCATATCATAGCACATAGGACTTTAGGTTTTCTAAGGACCCACTGTTAGTTCTTCCCCTTCCACTGCCCGAATCGTGCCCCTAGGGCGCGTCGATTTTCCGCCCACCTCGCGCGCCTAGTGTCAGAATCCGAATGATGATTGTATTTTTGTGAGTTGGGGTACATATACTTAACCCTAACAACGGTACCTGTTTGAATATATATATGTAACTGCTTGTAGCTGTAGTTTAGTGTAGTTACCATAAGCTTTTGGTGGTGCACCAATCTTGTTTCTTGCCTATTCGTACTGTTCGCTCCATAGTGAACCTCCTCTTTTGTTGGTGACACTCCTCTCTCGCTTCTCTCGTTCCTCTAGCCATGGCTCCTAAGCCCACTCCTAATCTACTATCTTGACATGGTACATAGCAGGTCCTTCCTAAGACCCATCTTTTTTTTTTTTTTAAGGGCCCACCACTTCCCAGTGGCGCACCCCGTAGTGCGCCTCATGGGCACTTCCCTGCTGCAGCCCGTCACCCGCGCACTACCCCATTGCAGTCACGTCCGTCCCGTCCATCCCCCGTCCCGTTCGTCACGTCCGTCCGTCCCATCTCATCCCGTCCCATCCCGTCCCGTCCCCCCCGTCCGTCTCGTCCATCCTGTCCCGTCCATCCCATCTGTCAAGTCCGTCCCGCCCGTCCCATCCGTCCCGTCCCTTGCGCACTGCGCCCTGCGCTCGTCCGCCCTGTCCGTCCCGTCCGTTTGTTTGTCTCGTCCCCTCGCGCTCTGCGCCCTATCTGTCGCGCCCTGCGCCCTGCCCGTGAGCAACCAGCTGCTGCCCCTCCTCTCTCTCTCACTGCCGCACGTGCAGCAGTGTGGGGGGGGGAAGGGTGTGAGTGGGAGACGAGCCTGCTGGTGTGGGGAGGGGAGCTTGGAGGTGAAGGGGGGAAGTGTGAGGGGGCAACGAGAGAGATTTTGCCGCACCAACAGCCGTCAGCCCTTTGCTCTCCCTCACTGCCGCGGTTGCAGCTGTGGGGGGGAGGGTAAGAGAGGGTGGCGGAAGTCAGCTGGGCATCTGCTGCTGCCGCCCGCTGCTACCGTGGCACCTCCAGCTACAGCCCCTGCAACCACCCACTGTTTTGTCTGTCGTCCACTGTTGAGAGATAGGTGTTGTCGTTGAGCCCTGTTGTGCCGCCGCACGTTGCCGCAGCACGCACCCGCTCTCCTGGCGATCAACCGCCATATGCACCTTCTTCTATTGCTTGCTTCTATCTTGGCTGAGGGGTTGTTGCAGCTGAATCTGCCAACATTGCACCGGTTGTCACTGCTCTTGCCTGCTGCTGCTTTACTCTGTTTGGTGTACCCATCAAGGAGGTGTTGCAGTTGGTGCAACCCTACGGTTTGCACTCAGCTTGTTGTCCGTGTGCGTGCATGCGTGTGTGCATGGAATGGTATGAGGGCATGAAGTAGTATATATTTCATGCTTATAATGGTGTGTGTATGATGAGTCATGATGTCGAGTGCGTGTATGTCGAGTCAATAGCGAGTTATCGCTACTCGCGTGTTAATGCGGTCATTTGTGTCCCGCGCGCGGTTTCTATTTTGTTGTGTGTCTCATGCGCAGTTTCTATTTTGTCCTGTGTCGAACGTTCGGCTTGTCACTGGTGTGTGCAGCAGAACTCAAGGATGAGTTTGTGATGAAGAACCCGAGCCTTGGTTTCAAGCTTCAAGTGATTTCGAAGCTCGCCAAAAAGGGTACACCTCAAGATATCGAGAATCGTTACATTGCAATGGGTAGTGTAACATTGGAGGGTAGTTTCGAGACCCTTCTTGGTTGGGGACAGTGTGGCTCTGTTCCACATCATTGTACGTCGGCTCTTGGGGTTTGTAGGAGCTGGGAAGCATTCCCAACTCTTCCCAACTCTTCCTAGTTCTTCCTAATTTGTGTTCTAAGACTATGTTGCTGCCATAGTGCCATTCGTTCAAAACGACGCTCTGTCGTCAATACTTGATGAAATCGTGCGATCTAAATTGCCTGTTGTAGGCGACGTTAAGACGCTCCAGATCCAAGTTGAATCAGGTCATTTGGAGCTGTGACCAGATCGCTATGAATGTTTAAAGCCGCTGTGCAGAAATCCGACTGTGCACTCTATCTTTCGTTTTAGGCAAATTGGAGCATATTGTGTCTATAACAGGTGTTGCTGCACAAACTCCTGCTGCATGCAGTTATGGGGGAGTGTTGGAATATATATATGTAACTGCTTGTAGCTGTAGTTGAGTGTAGTTATCATAAACTGTTGGTGGTCATTCTTGTTTCTTGCCTATTGGTACTGTTCGCTCCATAGCCTCCTCTTTTGTTGGTGACACCTCTCTCTCGCTTCTCTCGTTCCTCTAGCCATGGCTCCTACCCCACTCCTAATCTACTATCTTGACAGTACCCCACATGACATGCCTTTCTACAGGCTACAACATTTGACAACTAGGCACATCGATTTTCTGCCCAAATCGACGATGACAATTTTCTTGATGACGATGCAATCAACAACTAGGTGTGTCGTACAATGAGGACCCGGATCCCCATCAGATGTCTCACCACCTAGTCCGCGCAGGTAAGGAGCTGGTGGGGAAATTGTAATGGTAGTGTGACAGCAGTGCTGATGCTTCATCAATGGTGGAACCTAGGGCATGGTTTAGCACAACAAGCAGCATTGCCTGGCAGCCAACACCTGTCTTGGGAAAGCATCGGTACCAGTATTGTACTTTGAAACGAAGTACACCCAAAATCAAGATTGTATGCGAAGTTATTGTTATTGGTGGAGGGCATGCTGGCTGCGAGGCGGCGGCTGCATCTGCTAGACTTGGAGTTTCTACCCTTTTAATAACCTTAAATTAGTGGGTGTCTGAAAGTAAAGCATGGTACAGAGAGGTGCGGTGCTCTACTACCTACACTGGAACTTGCACTGTGTAAATACACTAGGTTTAATATTTACATAACGATCTCATGCTTGAGAATGTTGGCCTTGATCTCCTTGTGAGGCAGCACCACACCCCCATTGGCATACACCTCATCCTGAATGTGCACGTCCTCACCCAGCACTGTCATGTTCTCCAGCCGTGCCCACTGTCCCACCATTGAATGCCAACTGGTGGGGTTGCACAGGTTGCATAGGTTTGAAAGGAGTGCAAGAGTGAGAACAAGAGTGCAGCAGGGATGGAAAGTGATGTTGGGTGGAAGCAACTAAGTGCGATGTGCATGGTGTGCATGGGCGCATGCAGCGTGGCTGTGCGGGGGTGCTTCACACTGCAGGTACGTGCATGGTTACAACTACACTTGTGTTGTGGAGGTGGTAGTGCATGATGCTCGTTGTGTCATGCATGCACATATACACACCATCCTAAACCCATGCCAGTACGTGCGATTGCCGCGTTCACACCACATCCCCAACACCAAACCATCAGCAGCAGGAGTAGGAGGAGCAGAGAGAGCAGGGCGGAAGGGGAGGGGGACTCACCCGACAATGCTGCCAGTGACATAGGCGTGCTTGCCGATGCGCACGCCGCGCATGATGGTGCAGCGCGCCAGCCGCACGCCATCAGCGATCACACAGCAGGGTCCGATGGACACGTCGGGGCCGATCAGACACCCCTCGCCGATGGTGGCCGTTGGATCCACCAACACGTTGCCCACTATGTGCTTGCCCGTTGCTAGCTGCTCGGGGCTGCGTGGCACCGCACAGCAATGGGTGGCAAAGAGAAAAGGAGGGAGGGAAGGAGGCAGAAGGGAGAGGGGAAAGGGCATGCAAGAGTTAAGGATAAGCAACTGCAACGTGGGTGCACGATGGTACCAGTGGAAGTACAGCAACACGGACGGTCAGCTGCCAGCAATCCTGTCTGTGTGCGCACACAGCTATAGGTTTCCCCGGAGCGGACGGGCAGCTTAGGGTCCAACTCGGACCGCAAGTCGAGTGTCAGGCTGGCATGAAGGCAATATGCAGTGCGGCAATGAGTAAGGGACAAGGGGCTACGGGTGAAGGGCCACCCGACAGCTGCAATGAGGCCGGGGTACGTCCGGTGAACGGCCTGCTGCGTCAGTCGGATCAGTGCCTCGCCAACCGTGCCGGAGATGGACACTGACACAGGAACTCGGATGAGTCTTGCGCATGCAACCCCACCCGCCCCATGCAACCACGTGCCGTGCACCGCCAAGTGCAGGTTTCACACTCGCTGGTTGTGGCGCAGCGACTCGAGGTAGAGCCTGAGCCCGCAGTTGTAATCACGCGGCTGGCCGATGTCCATCCAGAAGCCCGGCAGCACCATGGCGAACAGCTTGCCCTCCGCCGCGATCTTGGGGAACACCTCCATCTCGATGGAAGTGCTGCGCAGCTTGATGCGGTTGAGCACGCATGCGTCCAGCACGTAGATGCCCGCGTTGATCTTGTTCCCCACAAACACCTTGGGTTTCTCCACGAACCGCTGCACGCACGAGGTTGCTTCGTCCACCACCACCACGCCGTACTTGGACGGTTCCTCCACCTGCTCACGGGGAGACGCGGAGAAGAGGGATGTGGGGAGGGGGATCGCAGGCAGGTGGGGGGAATCGCAGTGGAAAAGGAAGGCCCTTCCCGGGGAAGGTGAATTTGTGGTGCCGCAGGAAAGATAGAATCTGGAAAGGGAGTTGCGGTGTGGCGGAGGAGAGGCGCGCCGCCATTGAGAACTCGTGGGCGATTCTACGGCGATTCGCGGGAGATTCGTGAGGTATGAGGACTGATTCGTTCGCTACCATCGCAGCATATGTATTAACGACCAGCGCGGGGCGTGCAGCGACTGACCTTGGTGACCATGATGGTGCACTCGCCGCCGTGCTTCTTGTGGAAGTCGAGCATCTGCGTGAGCGGGTACTCGCTGATGACGTCACTGTTGAGCACGAAGAAAGGGTCGCCCGTGCCGTCGTCGAGGATGTGTCTGGCGTGCGCGAGCGGGCCCGCCGTGCCCATGGGCTCCTTCTCCTGCGAGCACACGATGCGGATGCCCACCTTCGCCTCGTACTCTTTGATTAACGTCATCATTACCTGCCACGTCACGTGCGCATCGCGTGCGGATCGTACGGGACGCGGGGGATGTGCGGGAGGATGAAAATCGAATTTTGAGTGGAATGATGATTTTACATGCAAGAACAAAGATTGGTGAGTTTCGGTATTTTAGTTATGACCTGACTTGTTTGAGCGAATTCGCGAAGGATCTACGATCGTAGATGGCGAGGGAGAGGTGAGGGAGCGGCGGCGTACCTCGGGTTGGTAGTTGATGACGAGAATGACCTGGCCCACTCCCGCTGCCTCGAGCGCCTCGATATGGTGGAGGATCATGGGCTTGTTCGCGAATTCGACGAGCGGCTTGGGCACACTGAGGGTGAGCGGCCGCAGCCTCGTGCCGAAGCCTCCGACGAGAATGAGAGCCTTCATGCTGGCGAGCTGCTGCCTGGTGGCCGATTAAATCGGTGCGCGGCGACACAGTCGCAGTTACTGGGAACAAAAGAGCAACAGAAGGCGCCGAAGAGCGTAGGAGACGGCGGCGACTGGGGCAAAGGAAATTCCACAATTCCAAGGAACGAGTTTGAATAGAATGTTAGGTTGGTGCGTTGGATAAAACCCGCGTCTCATATTTCTTGTTTCCAACCAAATGTAATACGCTTGAAACCGGGTAACCAAACAATCACTCGCACAACTGTCGCGTTTGGTTTGGCGCAGGTGTGATTGGCTGCAAACCAAATTTGGAAGGTGCAGGTGCCTGACTACCAAGCCAGGTTCGCGATAAAGAGGCAACCGCGTGTGCGACGGACTGAGAATGAAACACACAGCCCACACAACCAAGCGGAAACAGAGCTGCAAACCCAGGCAGTGTAACAGTCCGGCAGCCGAATGCTGCCAACTGCAGTGCAGGTGGGCGGAAGTCAAGACAGTCCGGATTGGTCAAGCACCTCAACCTGCAATTGGGCGACAAAGTTCCGGACAAGCAGCCCAAGTCAAACCCACCCGCGAAAATCACGAAACGCAGAACACAGAAAGTTCCGACCGATCGTTGACTTCGCCAACAACACCGACGAAACTACAGCCCCGTAACCAGGCTCGCCGTCCAATCCTGTATCGCAATAATTCTCTGAATTTCACGGCAGGTTCAATTCGAAGGGCTAGGTTACCATTGAGAAATTCAGAGTGTCGCGACTTGGGAGTGCGACTTGATGTATAAATGGCTCTATAAAATTGTACAGTCTATGCTCACCTTATCACAAAACAATTGTTCGCCACAATTAGAAATTTACTCACAATTGCATGTTTTACCGGGTGATGTCACAAGGGGTACAGTCACCCAAATTTTTGGTGGCATGTGGTTTTTGCGGAGATAAACTCTACAACGTTGGGAGCTAGACTACAGGGTGGGCACTGGTTGTAGGAGTGATCATAGCTCTGTCTGTGTTCTCTAGGACTTGTGTTTTCACAGGGCAAAAGAGCAAGAGTTTCGCTATGAAAGTTGAGAATAACAGAGTTCAGAATTGAACAAGCAATGAAAAAGATTGACTACATCACATGCAAGCTTTGCTAGTGCTCAGGCAGGTCAATTACCAGCACGACAAAGTCGTCGACCTGCCAACGTAGCATGTCTGCGGCCCGCCAACGCAGCTTGTGTGCGACTTGCCAACGCTGCAGAATGGCGGCCTGCCAACGCTGCATCCGCGCGGCTTGCCAACGCAGCATCCGCGCGGCTTGCCAACATTGCATCCGCAGGTGATTGTAAGCGCATGTGCAAGCACCTACTTTGCAGGTGCTTGTAGACAGTTGTGCACGTCGTGCATTATCAAGTACATTGCGCAGGTTGTCAGCCACATGCCAACGGTTGCACCTGACGAGCCACGTCGACCACGTGCTGCCACGTCAGTCGACTTTGTCACAGCAGCCTCGACGACGTTCGCACACCTTCGCGCACCTCGTCGAGCAGGTAACTTGGTCAACCAGGAAAGATTCCTGGCAACTCTGCAGGATGATGACCTTCGTCATCACCAGTTGAATGTCAAACATTATATATGTTGGGTTTGTTAGGCTACAGTGGGTTAGCCTATATGGGGTACACAATTCTAGGGTTTGCTATTTGTACTGATTTCTCTGTTAGTTCAACCATTCCAGTCTCTTCTTGTTGACATGGTTTCAGAGCAGGTCCTTCGCTAGGACCGTTCTTAGGGCCCACCACTGACTACCTACCTACCTATCTACTGTCGGAGCGTCGCGTTAGCGCCTCCCCCTCTCAGCGCCCTAGTGCGCCCTCGTGTACGGCCCCTTAAGGCCCCGTCGACCCCGCGCGCCGCCCCTTAGTGACTCGCGCGTCGCGCCTTAGAGGCCCCGTCGACCCGTGCGCGCCCCGCTTAAGGCCCCGTTTGGCCCCGTCGACCCGCCCGCGGCCCGCTTAGTGGCCCCGCTTAGCCCCGTCGACCCGCGCGCGCCCCGCTTAAGGCCCCGTTTGGCCCCGTCGACCCGCCCGCACCCCGCTTAGAGGCCCCGTTTGGCCCCGTCGACCTACGCGCGCCCCGCTTACGGCCCCGTTTGGCCCCGTCGACCCGCGCGCGCCCCGCTTACGGCCCCGTTTGGCCCCGTCGACCCCTTCGCGCCCCGCTTAGTGGCCCCGTTTGGCCCCGTCGACCCGCGAGCGCTCCGCTTACGGCCCCGTTTGGCCCCGTCGACCCCACGCGCGCCCCGCTTAGAGGCCCCCCCTGGCCCCGTCGACCCCGCGCGCGCCCCGCTTAGAGGCCCCGCGGCCCCGTCGTCCGCCACCACACGGTCCCCCGACCCCGCTGCGCCCCGCTTACCAGCCCCACGGCCCCGTCGAGCCCCGCTTAGAGGCCCCCGCGACCCAGTCCCGCCCCTCTTAGCGGCTTCGCGCAGCCGCGCAGACTGAACTGAGCCGCGCCGCCCGACCGAGCCGCGTCGACCGTTCTAGCAGCCCTGTTGATCCTACTGCTACTGCTACTGCTCCTACTGCTACTACGGCTACCACTATGGCCAGTCCTCCCGTACTTGCTTTCGATGCTGAGGGCCGCCCAGTGAAGTTTGACACCTGGCTCGATGACCTGCACCTTTTCCTACAGCTCACTGCCAAGGAGGACATCTCACTGTATGACCACGCCCTCGGCCATGCTCCTGCCCCTGCTACTGATGCTGACAGCACTACCCGCTCCCAGTGGCAGACTCGTGACGCCCACGCTCGCTTTGCCATCCGCAACTCCCTGCCGTTAGATGAGCGCGAGCACTTTGGCCAGTGCAAGACAGCTAGGGACCTCTACACCGCTGTAGTTGCCCGTTACTCCTCACCCGCTTCTGCTACGCTAGGCCGCCTCACTCTTCCCTACCTGTTCCCCGACCTAGCCTCCTTTCACACTGTCGCAGACCTCATCACCCACCTTAAGACTAGTGAGGCCCGCTTTCGCGCTGCTATGCCTGCCGAGTTTCTCACTAGCAACCCCCCCCCGCTCTGGATCACTCTCTACCACATCGTCACCCGCCTCCCTGACTCTCTGCGCGCAGTCAGGGACCACTTCCTCTCTCGCTCCCCCACTGAGCTCTATGTTGCCCTCCTCGAGAAGGAACTGCTTGCAGCCGAGGCGAGCATCATTGCAGCTGTAGGCACCTCTCGTGGCGACCCCCGCACCCCGTTCTTCGAGGGGTGTTCCCCTTCCCCCCTCCTCCCCTCTGTCGCCTCTGCTGCTGCTGTCGACCTCCTTGGTGCTGAGAAGGTCGGGACCGCGTCTGCTTCGAGCGGGCGCCGCAGGGGCAAAGGGGGCAGGGGTGGGGGTGGCGGCGGAGGAGGTGGGGGTGGAGGCGGTGGGAGTGGAGGCGCGTCAGGTCAGCTGTCCGCCCCCTGCTCGTGTCGCTCTCTGGCACATGAGACTGTCCTTTGGCACCACCGCCTTGGTCACCCGTCTGTGCAGCGCCTTCGGGCCATGCACCAGCGGGACCTTGTTGCTGGTCTTCCCAGGGTGCTCCCTCCCCTTCCCGACTCGCCTGCTCCTCCCTGTATTCCCTGTGTCGAGGGACGGCAGCGCGCCGCTCCTCACTCCTCCTCCTTTCCCCCGACGACTGCCCCCTTGCAGACGCTTCACATGGACGTGTGGGGCCCAGCCCGCGTCCGTGGTCAGGGTCAGGAGAGGTACTTCCTGATTGTTGTTGACGACTTCTCGCGCTACACCACGGTCTTCCCCTTGCGCGCCAAGGGTGACGTCCCTGATGTCTTGATCCCTTGGATCCGCAGATCTCGTCTCCAGCTCCGTGAGCGTTTCCGCTCCGACTTCCCTGTCCTGCGTCTGCACTCTGACAGAGGTGGGGAGTTCTCCTCTGGCCTATTGGAGGCCTTCTGTCAGCAGGAGGGCATTGAGCAGTCGTACACGCTTCCGGACTCTCCACAGCAGAATGGGGTTGCTGAGCGCCGCATTGGTCTGGTCATGGAGGTCGCTCGTACCTCCTTGAGCCATGCGGCTGCCCCCCATTTTCTGTGGCCGTTTGCAGTCCGATACGCTGCGCATCAGCTCAACCTCTGGCCCCGTGTCTCCTTGCCCGAGACTTCTCCGACACTGCGCTGGACGGGAGAGGCTGGCGATGCGTCGCGTTTTCGGGTCTGGGGATCCCGAGCTTTTGTCCGCGACACGTCCGCGGACAAGCTCTCCCGTCGCGCTGTCCCCTGCGTCTTCCTTGGCTTTGTCCCGGACGCCCCTGGTTGGCAGTTCTACCACCCCACCTCGCGGCGTGTCCTGGCCTCTCAGGACGTCACTTTTGACGAGTCCGTCCCCTACTACCGCCTCTTCCCCTACCGCACTGCCCCGCTCCCCCCCCCGCCTCTCTTCCTCGCTCCAGGTGCTGAGGTACCAGACCCCCTCCCCCCTCAGGGTGCCGCTCCCTCAGGTGTGTCCCAGGTAGACCCGGGTGAGCCTGTCGAGGTAGCTGTTGACTCTCGTCCT